CACTTTTGACAGACTTTTGGTGAGATCCAAGAGGTTAAGAGTGTGATCGAAGTCCGTTTTCTCAAAGCACAAAACCGAATAGCAGATTCGGGTCCTAGCAGACAAGTTCCAACCGTTGGAATCCATCCCGAGGTGTGGATACGTGAAGAGGGCGAGGTAATCTTCCTCCCTTTCGTGATCAGACGTTTCTACGATTCAATAGCAGCATGGTTGTAGGGTTCTATAAAAATTTTGTTTTACATCCGCTGCGCAAACACTAGAATCGATCTCTTAGGAATAGGATTCGCTTTAGAGATTCCAGGAATCCCAACAAGATTAAGCTTAGGTGTCCATACAAAAGTGGGGATCCCTCACCCACAACAAGATTACTACTCCATAACTAGGGTTTCAAAACATAAAGCAAAATAGAGAAACATAGAAAAGGAGAAGAAATGCTCAAAATGGTCTTCAATGGTGTCTTCTCCTCCAAAATGCTTCTCTTGATCTCCAAATCTCCCTCTTTTCTCCTCTTCCAAGTCAAGTTTCTCCAAAGTGTATAGCCCCCTTCTCTCTCCTCAAACTCCCATTTTTGTGGAAGTCCAAAATTAGGTTTTCTCCACAAAACACGGGCTTTTCCTTTTTGGACCGATTTTGATTTCAGCGGTCGCTCATTTTTCAAGCGGGTCACTTATTTTTCTTCAGGGTCGCTCATTTTTCGGGCGGGTCACTCATTTTCCTCTGCACATGCGACAAAGCAAGCGACCGCTCATAAAATGAGCGAGCGCTCACAAAACGAGCGATCACCCATAAAATGGGCGGGTCGCTCATTTTGTCTGAGCTTCCCGAGCCTTCTCGAATTCTTGTTCTTCCGTGCCCGCTTCGTGAGGATTCATCGTGGAGTCTTCCTGCAAGGAAAAACAAGCACAACAACCTACCCATGGCCATCTAACGTCCTATAATGCCTAGAATTGAGAAGAATTGTGATGCACGACGTTATAAAACCGGTGAAAAACCCGTGTGATCAAATCCCCCCAGACTTGAGGTTTGCTCGTCCTCGAGTAAATGTGCAATTATAAAACTATCCAAGGAGTGATAAGATACAGTCGGA